GCGGTCGTTTTTTTAAAAAAAAGCTTTCAGCAACGAGGCAGAAAGGGGAACTCGCTCACGGCTCTTTTTTCCCCCCTTTCTCGGCGACTGGGAAGGCAGTCTCTTTCCTCTCTCTTTCCTCTTTCTCTTTCTGTTTCCTCCCTTTCTCTCTCTCTTTCCTCTTTCTTTTCCTACGTTTTTCTCTTTTTCCTCTCTCTCTTTCTCTCTCTTACGGCAGTATCGTCGGGGGTCCCCACCGCCCCTGGCCTCTGCGCGTCCTCAGCCGAATCGGCGGGGAGGGGGAGCAGAATGGGAGGCAGTGGTTCTGGCGGCGGCGGCATCGCCGGGGTTCCTCACCACTGCCCCGCCGCGTCCCCAGTTGAACGGGCGAGGAGGAGCAGGACGGGAGGTGGCGGCGGCGGCGGTAGCAGGCAGCATCGTCGGGGTTCCTCGCTGCCGGCCCACCACCGCCCTGCCGCGTTCTCAGCCAAAGGGGCAGGGAGAGGGAGCAGGACGGGACGCAGCAGCTTCGGCAGCAACAGCAGCAGCAGGCAGCATTGTTGGGGTTCCTCGCCGCTGCCCCCAGCCCAGCCGCCGCGTCCTCAGCCGAACGGGTGGGGAGGGGGAACAGGACGGGAGGCAGCGGCTCCGACGGCAGTGGCAGCGACAGGGCAGCATCGTCAGGGTCCCTGCCGCCCCCGCTAGGACTCTGCGCTGCCTGGCCTCACCCTCCGCCCATCGATGGAGCCGCAGTGGAGGCTGGTGCCGCACAGCCCCTGCCAGCCCCTCTGCCAGCCCGGCTGCTCCCCCCAGGCACCCCTCTTTCCCTGGCGCCCACCTGAGCCACTTTGGGGGCAGCAAGAGGAAGAAGGGGAGGAGGAAGGGGAGGGCAAGGAAGCCGCCGCCAGCGCCGGCCCCAGGAGGAGGCTCTCCTCTCCTACCTTTGCTGAATCTCCTTCTTCCTTCCCAGCAACCTGGATTCCGGCACGCCTTCCCGGCCAGCAGGTCCAATGGTCGGGATGGCTGGGGATCGCAGGGGCTGGTCTCCCTTGGGCCGCGGCTTTTGGGAGGGCTGGCCCGCTCAGCAGAGCCTCCAGCGGGCCGTTCCCAGCAGGGATCCCGGGGTTTCCCCGGGCGGCTCCAAGCCACGAGGCCCTGGCCGCGCTTCTCCCAAGGGGTGGGGCACCCGGGCACAGGACCAAACAGGAGCCCTGCAGGAGGTAAGTCTGTCTGAGAGAGAGAGAGAGAGAGAGAGAGAGAGAAGGGAAGCGAAAGTGCCTCTCTGTCTCTCTCTCTCTCTGCAAATGGCGGAGGAGGCCATGCGGAGACGGATGCGGAGCGGTGTCTCGGTTCCTAAGACCATCGGAAATATGTGTTTTCTGATGGTCTTAGGCGACCCCTGTGAAACGGTCGCTCGACCCCAAAAGGGGTCGCGACCCACAGGTTGAGAACCGCTGGGCTAAAACCAAGCAATTTCTATTTTACTTAACATTTTCTAGCCCCATCTTCTAATCCAGTGGTTCTCAACCTGTTGGTCGGGACCCCATTTGGGGTCAAACGACCATTTCACGGGGGTCGCCAAACAATGCAGTCCGCCATTTTTTTCCCTTTTCCCTAGCTGTCCTACTCCCTCTTATTGGTGGCCACACCCACTTGGGGTCACCACAACATGGGGAACTGTTTTATGGGGTCACGGCATTAGAAAGGTTGAGAACCACTGTTCTAATCCGAGGTGAGAGTGCCCTGGGTGAAAGCTACCACTGGCCCTTGAGGGATAAGCAACCATTAAATTTCAGAATTTATATTTCATTTACATGTGATAAAATTAAAGTCAAGCTGGACAGTGAGCAAGAGCTAGGGAAAGAAGCCTTTGTATTATGGATTTGAAGATGGTGACTAATTGGACTACAGGAAGAAGTCAATTACTCCTAGATTAAATAAAATTCTGGAGGCATTAATCAAAAAGTGGAAATTCATTTACTTTGGTTGTGTGATGATGGTGTGGGAAGTCAGCCCCCCATAGTAGGAAATATTAAAAGGGCAGAAAAATATATTTCCTCAAAGGATCTTAAAGAGGCAGAAAAGCATGCCCAGTTTTCTTAATAACCCCAAGTCTCCCTCTCCCAAGCAGAAACCAGCTCTGTACAAATGCAGATGTAAATAGTCCAGGAAGGTTGGAAGCCCCCAGCTAGATGATTAAGAAGACACCTAAAATCTACATATCCCACCCAAAGCTTAAGACAGGACATAATAGGATTAACCCACAGATGCCAAAGGGCACACCCAGACTCAGGTCAGAATACATGACACAGGAAATGCAAAGCCTCAAACAGGAACAGGAAACAACTCCAAACAAAAGGCTCCAAAGGGTATAAAAACCCACTCCCTATATGTGCTCTCTCTCTCTTTTCTTCCAGAGCCATCTTCCTGTCTGGCTCTCCTCTTCAATAAACTGTAACCTTCTTTCTAAAGCAGTCGCCATGTTGTTTATCCCTGGCTTGGACTGAACCATGATGAAGACTTTTCCTTCAACAATGGCTTAGGAAAAAAAGACTACATAATAGGGACGGATGATATGAAGGAGATCATTAGAATGCCCTTTGGAAAGCTGTGCGTTGGTACTAGAGGTGGGCTGAGATGAAGGATTCATAGTTAGGAAAAGTCACACCCAACATAATGGCATTTAATACCTAACTGATCACTCCCTAGTGATGTAATGTATTTCTTTATCTATTCGATAATATATTAAAATTACAATTTGGAATTAAATTCTAGATGTATCTAAGATGGATTTAAGGCTGATAGATTCCAAAGGTTGAGCATCCTTGCCCTAACCCAGGGGTGGGGAATCTTGGCTCTTTTATGACTTGTGGACTTCAACTCCCAGAATTCCTGAGCCAGCTCAGGAATTCTGGTAGTTGAAGTCCACAAGTCATAAAAGAGTCAAGGTTCCCCACCCCTGTCCTAACCCAAAAAGCAATATGTAAAAGGATTACTGTTTTAAAAATGTAGATCAGCCTCCCCCAATTAAACACCCCCACACATTGCAGCCACCAGAATTCTCTGCAAAATATTAGGTGAGCAGGGGAGTTTTCCAGCTGACTGGGATCTGACTGATAAATATGCTGGGCAGTCATTCTAAATGACCAACCAAACCTAATACATATGGAATATGATTTTTCATTCATTCAACTTCCTTCCTCTCTCTGAAAGATGCTGCATGTGTTGAAATTCTATTACAACTTCTGACACCCAAGACATTAGCATAGTCTATCATGCTTCTAAGAGCCGTATTATTTTCAAGTGTCCCTCTGGGTGATTTTGTTTGAGAATATTTTTCTGTTTTGGTCGGAGTTTCTGATATGCAACAAACCCCAAGGGGAAATGATTCTTTTACTTATAAAAACTACTGGAAGTTGAATGTATTACTGGGATTTAAATGATAAGTGATTCAGAATGGATGAGGTTAGATCAGGGGTCTTCAAACTTGGCAACTTTAAGACTTGTGGACTTCAACTCCCAGAATTCCTCAGCCAGCCAGCTGGGAGTTGAAGTCCACAAGTCTTAAAGTTGCCAAGTTTGAAGATCACTGGGTTAGGTCATGTAAAGATTGGAGGTGGCAGCCGATTTACTTAAGAGAAGCACAGTGTGTTCCCTCAGCAGGTAGATGTTAAAAAAGAAGTTTCCTTTAAAGCAAGGGTTATCTATTCACAATACAACACTATTTCAAGTGGCCACAACTGAAATCTCACCATCCTGGGTTGGATTCAGTCATTTCGCTACACCAAAGAGAATTGGTTTGCTTGGAGCTTCCTGAATTTGATAAACTCAGCCAGCACAGTTGTAAGTTTTGTGTATTATATGACGCCTAAAAAGCATGGTTTGGACAATTAGTAAATGTTTAAGCAAAGGCTTAGTACATGATGTGTAAAGAAACAATGAAATATACCAGAATCTCTAAAATATTTTACACCCTGAGGAAAAAACAATTGCCACATCTGTACTATGGTGTTGGGAATAATGGAGAGGTAATCAAAAACAGTACTGTAATCAGATGAGAAACTGTTTTAGTACAGTAGGCTGGATTAAGCCCAGAAGTAAATAGTTTGCCTATTTGTGGTTTAGCATACAACAACAGGAGTGAGGGCTTAAGCTGTGGATTTGTATTTATTTTACTTACTAGATTTTTATCCTATCTTTAGTACTTCATAAGTAACTCAAGGCAGCTAACATATCCAACACACCTATTTTCCCAACAACAATCCTGTGAGGTGGGTTGGGCAGAGAGAGCGGGCTTGGCTCAGGGTTACCTACCATCTTTCTGGCTTAAGGTGGGACTAGAATTCACTGTCTCCTGGTGATTGGCCTAGTTGCCCAGTTGGCTTTCACGTTTCAATGTTTTCAGTGTATAAATTCAAAACTGTATACATCTTTTTAATAAATAAATAACCAGCCCATTGTAATTCATGCAGGAAACCACCACTGAACAAACTGATTCAGAGTGTGAACCACCATTAAACAGTGATTCAGTGTGTCAACCACCATTAAACTGTGGTTCAATGTCAACCACCATTAAACAACCTGATTCAGTGTGTCAATCACTGGTAAACAAACTGTGATTTGGAGTGTCAACCACCATTGAAGTTATTCAGTGTCAACCATTAAATAAACTATGATTCAGTGTCAACCATTAAACAAGCTAATTTGGAGTGTCAATCACCATTAAAGTCATTCAGTGTCAACCATTAAATAAACTATGATTCAGTGTCAACTACCGTTAAACAAACTGATTCAGTGTGTAAAACCACCATTAAACAAACTGTGATTCTGACTCAGACTGTGTCAACTTCAGGAACCAGAAACCGACCACGTGAAGGCTCGCTCAGAGGGAATAAAGTACGCATTTAGAGTTCTTGCTCCGGGCCGAGGCCACATAAGACGCCCCGCCCCCCCTTATAAGATTTCAAGTCACTCGCTTCGTCCTCGCATTTCTTCCGAGCAACCACCATCCCTCTCTTCGCTCTCCGGCGCTTCCAACCTCGCACTTCCTGTCCTCTCCTTCATTCCCGTCTCTATGCCCCCAGCGATTTTTTTTTTCCCCGAGGCCGGCGCGGCGCGATTGGCGGCGGCGTTCTCGCGAGAGGCGCGGCCTGACGAGGTGAGAGCGCGCGGGCGAGGGAAAAAAAGGGAGGGGGGCGGAGCGGGAGAAAGGGCCTGGCGTCGAGGTCCCGGTGGCGGCGGAGGTGGAGGAGGCGGCTGGCTCGCTCGCTCGCTCGCTCCTGGGTGAGTGGCAGAAATGGCGGCCGCGGAGGGGAGGGGGGAAGGCTCGTCCTGGCGGGTGACGGGAAGGAGCCATCTTGGGGCCGCTCGGCGCCTGTGAGAGGCTCGCCTGGTCGCGCGGAGGGGCCCGCCCCCTCCTGGGCCTGCCGCGAGCGCGGAGAGACAGGAAGCCGCAACCTGAGGCGCTCGGAGGCCCAGCGCCGGCCCTGCCCGCTTGCCGGCCTACCTTTTCCCACCGCCCTCCGCAGACACGCTGCTTCCCGAGGCGCCTTTGCCGCCTGCCTCTCCCCTTCCCGCAGTGGGTCTCGGCTTCAAAGGCGCCCCGAGGAAGCGGCCCCCTCGCGCCTTAAGGACCGAGTTCGAGCTTGCCAAATTAAGAGGGCCGCCCTCTTTCGACCCGGGTTGAAGAGAGCGCCTGCCTTTGCTTCGTTAACTCCGCCAAGCTTAGGAAAAGGCGTAGTTGTTTCTGTAACTCGGATACACAACGCAGAAAATAGCTTAGGGGAGGCTCGTTTCCGGCCTTGCGCAAGTAGTCCTCGATTTACAAGTTTGCTTAGTGACCGTCCGAAGTTAAAACGGCCCTGGCAAACAGTTGACTTGTGACCGTTTTTCACACTTAACGACCGTCGCACCATCCCCAGGGTCACCTGATTTACATTTGGATACTTGAGAACTGACTCGTATTTATGACGGTCACGGTGTTCCCCCGGGGTCACCCGATCCCCTTTTGCGACCTTCTGACAAGCAAAGTCAACGGGGGAAGCCGGATTCACTTAACAACCGTGTTACCAATCTTAACAACTGAAGAGATTCACTTAACAAATGTGGCAAGAAAGGTCATCAAATAGGGCAAAACTCACTTAACAAATTTCTCACTTAGCAACATACATTTTGGGCTCGGTTGTGGTCGTGCGGTCTGCCTGTAATTAATTGGGTTAAGAGTTTCTTGTGAAGCCTTTCCTTTCAAAAGATGTTGGCTGGGTGTTGCCTGGCCGTTCATAGAATATAATGAGTTGATTGTGAGGTTTTGGAACTCTAAATGACTTATGGAGGTTTTATGTGAGACACTAAACTCTCAGTCTAATAATTAAAATTGCAAACAAATTTGTGCCGTAAATAATGGTAAGAATCTTATAAAAATGGTGCTGGTGGATATTGTTTTATTTATTAATTTTTTATCCCACACATCTCCCCTACAAGATGTCTCTGGGGTGGCACAATATATTTCTGAGGTTTCCCATTTCTTTGGTTCCAATTGGATGTCAAGCACTCAACTTTCGTTAGGCTTGCAGGTTATTGATAGGACCCTTTCCACTAACTCCTGAATGTTTTTTTAAAAGAACTATTTAAGTACTAATCATGATTATCATGACTCAGCAGGTGGCAGCACCTGACTGATCTTGCCTCAGCAAAGAAGAAAAGCAGAGTTGGGCCTGAGTGAGGGATGGGAGACCATCAAGAAAGGCAAGCATTGTAGACTAAATGTGAAAGTAAAAAAAAAAAAATGTGAAAAAAAAGCAGGTCCTTATTGCTGCTAGGACAGTGGTTCTCAACCTTTCTAATGCCGCGACCCCATAATACAGTTCCCCATGTTGTGGTGACCCCCAACCACTTATACATCACCTGGTGCCAGGGGTGTGGCCAAAGAAAAGGGAGAAAAAATGGCGGACAGCCTTGTTTGGTGAACCCTGTGAAATAGTCATTCGACCCCAAATGGGGTCCCGACCCACAGGTTGAGAACCACTGTGCTAGGAAAACTACAGAAATGTTTATGTTGGCGAAATCTATAGCTATTTATACTATTTGAGAAAAAGATAAGCTAAAGTTGTAGAGCTAACATTGTTTGCAATTCTAGTAAGCTCTTGACATTCACTTTCTAAAATAAAATATCCTTTTCCACTTAGGTTTCCTTTGCCATTCTTCAAGTCATTTTTTTTCAAGCTGGAACAGTTTGAAAAGTGGTTTTTAGTTATAGTAGGATATCTCTCTTTTAAAGAGGAGAACAAGAGGTTCTGAGTATGCAGATAAACATGGGGCATATTTACATCATGGCAATTTGCTTGATTACTGTGTGCTTATAGATTGTTAAAAGGTGAGCTGTGAACCAGAAAGTCAAAATTATACTTTGCTATTTCACCTCAGTACATGTCTTTAAGATAGTCAGCATTTCCTAACCTTCCAACTGCAGCTCAAAAATAAGATTCCAACAAAATAGATGTCTATTATTATGCTGTATGGTATAAGAATTACTGAAGTAAATATCCCATTGATTCTACCTTTGCGGGGGGGGGGGGGGGCTTTGTATAATTTGTGAATTTTTTAAAAAAGTCTTTTTCATGTTTAAATAATTGCAGATAGAATTACATATTTGGATGAATGGCCATTCAGCATTTTTTAATCTGTCTTCGACATTCCTATGTTAGAAAATTGCTGTCTTAAATTTATCCTGAAAAGTTATGAGGTCCCCATTTTGTCACTTCTGTTTGTCTGTATATTTTGGGGAATGAACAACATTATTGGCAAGTTACGGCATGTATTGTTTTGGAAAGCAAATATGACTCCCTGATTAAACCAATTATATTGTTAGATCCTGTGAATCTTAAGGAACTTGTGGACAGATTCTTAGTGCTGTTAGCATTGCCTCCTGTGTATAAAATCCATAACCCTTCTGGCTGGTAAGACCACCTGTAGTTGAATTTGAGCAGTAGCAAATTCATCCTTGAACAAAGGCATAGTGAAAAAGGTGGTGGTACACCCATCTTCAAAAAAACTTTCACTGGATACAATAATATTGCACAATTTCAATCCAGTCCCCAACTTCCCTTTGGGAGTGGGGGAAGACTATGTAGAAGACGGTTGGGCTGCAACTTAAGAGGGATATAGAAGAAACAGATTATCTGAACCATTTTGAGTCACCTTTCAGGCCAGATATTCTACTGAGGCAGCATTGATTACATTTGTGGATGATTTCTGGTAGAATAAGGGGGGTGCAGTTCTTGGTGACTTCCTGTACCATTGATCATCATTCTTTGGACCAGTTTAGTATATGAGCAGGGGAAGTACTATTTTGCAGTAGTTCTTCCTTCTCTGCAGTTTGTGTCGATAGGGAAAGGCAGGTCAAACCCATGGCCCCTGCTTTCTGGAATTCCTCAGGCCTGAGCATTTTCCCCATCGCCTTTAACATGTACATGAGTATGCACAGTCTATATGAGCATGCATAATGCAGGTTATCTGATGTTTTGGACTCTGTTATCATCGGAATCCAAGTGATGCTGCTAAGATGCTGACCTAGTGTCTGTTTGGGGAGAAACGGGATCAGTCCTAGCAAGATAAAGTAACTGATTCAGGAATTGGACATCTTATCTTTAGTTCTCAATCAAGTTCTATTTCTTCAGACAGAACTAGTTTGGGAATCTTCTTGGGCAAGGGTAGGCAACCTTGACTCTTTTATGACTCGTGGACTTCAACTTCCAGAATTCCTGAGCCAGCATGGAGCCAGTTGAAGTCCACGAGTCATAAAAGAGCCAAGGTTGCCTACCCCTGCCCTTGGGACTAATGGCTTCTGATGGAAGAGTGAGTGACACCTATGGCTGGGAGGATTTTTGCAGAGATCAATCTTATGCACTAGTTTTAGAGCTAAAAGCCCATTTTAGTGGTTTAAAGTTAACTACTGCAGTACACTCTGTGTAGGGTGTCAAAAACCAAGAATTCTACCATTCAACCCTGATATTCATTTATATACTTCTTTGGGGATTTATTGCCAAAAATATTTTCTGGACATGTCTGAAATCTGAAGATAGCGTTACATATCATTTGATAAACCCCAGATCAGAAGACATCTTAGTGTTTGGTCAAGAATGATAGTGACTCTGGAGGAGACCTAAGCCAGGGGTGGCGAACCTATGGCACTCAGAGCCCTCTCTGTGGGCACGCGCGCCATCGCCCCAGTCCCAGGCCTTCAGCTGGGTTTTATAAAACCTTTTCGCTTTAGGCCTCCGCCGTGTGCAAAAAAAAAAAAAGGTTCAATCAATGAGTCAATTTCAACTTGTCGCAGAAAAAAAAAAGATCTCGCAAAGTTGGAATTGATTGATTGAACTTTTTAGTCCCACCCAGTTTGCCATTACCACCACAGCCACTCCCAGCCAATGAGCCACGCCCAGCCAATGGGCCACACCCACCCGGCACCCGACAATGCATAAGTGGGTTTGGGGTTGCAGTTTGGGCACTCAGTCTCTAAAAGGTTCACTATCACTGACCTAAGCCATAAGGAAGCCGGGCCATTGATAGTACCAATATTGAAGGAGGAATTTCTTGTTTTACAAGTATGTATAAGATTGAAGAATGGTATGAGAGAACTTGAAATTGTTGTATCAGAATTGCACACTAAATTGCGTATTTTGGGAAGATATGACCTTAGGTTTATGGAATGGGCCACTTTAAATCAGATGAGTATGTGAGATTATGCAAAGGAATAGATGCCAATATTACTCAAAAAAATGCTTGAATATGTGGTTGGCTATAACTTAACAGCAGATCATCTATAGTAGAATTTGTGGTTTTATGGTGAATATCATGATTTCCAAGTTCATATGAGGTGAAACAGTGAGGAATTCTTTGGCAAATAGGGCTAAACACTGTACAGACTTAACAATACAGTACAATATTTTTATTGGCTGGATTGAATGCAGGTATTGAAAAAAAATAAATGATCCTGAAAGTACTGAAAGATTTACACCAGGCATGTCAAGCTCACGACGTCACGTGATGTTGTGTGACATATTGTGACTTTTTCCCCATTGCCGGCAATGGGGTGGGCGCAGTTTTGGCATGACGCATCCAGCCCGCAGGCCTGCAGTTTGACATGCCTGATTAATACTCAATAAATGCAATAATACAGGAGATAGGTTAATACATTTTATGAAGAGATTTATTGATGACACTTGCTTCAAGTTTCAAAAATGCAGATTGTGTGCATGAATAGAACTGAGTGCCCATGACTGTAATTGGCTTGATCATTTAGGTAACAAAAACAGGGTGAAGAAGTGCAATAGAATAAGACAGACATTTCTAGAAACAGACTATAAGTTACTGGCATTTTACCTGCATAGTTGATAACAATTTAGTAAATTAAAGAGTAGATATGATATCAAAATTAATTCTGAAAGATATATAGTGAGAATATTACTTCATACACGTTCTGTATGCTTACCTTATATGAAATAAAACTTTAACAATGGTAAGAGATAAGAGATGTTGTGAAAATTGAAGTAGAAAAATAACCCTCAAATTTGTATGAGTAAAAGATCCAAGTAGCTTTCAGAAGAAATTATAACAGACAAAAAAAGAAGGAAGCTTGGTCCCACAGTAAGGATGAATTATATAAATGTAGCATTTTTAGTGTCAAGCAATCATGTCTGAACACGGGTCTATACTTCAGTCAAGATTGTCAGCAAGTAGGGGAGTATAATAGTGCAAAAGTGAGGGATAGTTTTAAGAACAAAGAAATTGCAGGAAAATTTACAGTTAAGGCATGAATAGTTGAGTAAGCTTGGAATACAAGCAAAGGATATTAAACAAAGATGGGAAGATACAGTATAGATATAAGATTTACTGACTGAAAAAATTGTATGCCCATGGATCTTATATACAATAATCCAGGGTAGCCCCTAAACAAGATCAGTAAAACAAAATAAGATTTAAAAAGCAATACACAACAATAGCACTCTCTGATGCCCTCAATACCTGTGCTTCCATCAAACAGTTACATTTCTATGTTTGCTAGGCTTCATTCACACCATAACCCAGTGTCTGGGGGAAGAGCCAGCTCTTTGTGGCTCATAGAAAAACAAAAACATTTAGGGAGACTGTACACAACAGGTGACTGCAATAAAAAACAAAGTGCAAAATGCAGTGGAGCAGCTATTAAATACCAGGTGCTTATGAAATGCCTATTTAAAGCTGAGGGTGAAAGGAAGTGCTAACAGATCTGTGTCAACAAATATGAAACAAGATTGTATGGTTGGAAAATACGTATGCCTACACCAAACAAAAGATATATAAAGCAATGTGTAGATTGTCAAAATAGGCTAATTTCTTCACACAAGTCAAAATATTACTTAAAGTCTTATAGAGTAGAGCCATAAGGAGAAGCAACTTTTAGAAAAGCAGCAGGCTTTACAAGGTCAGATAGGTAACCTAAGATGGAATACAAAGAGAGCAAGTGGGGTTTTCTTTCGCATTATTGACTACAGCAAGGCTTTTGTGTTAAGTGTACCAGAATCTAGGTTAATGGGTATACCAGAGCACTCGCATATTCTTCTGAGGACTCTTTATTATGAGCAAGAAACTATTGTAAGAACTGAAACAAAGAGGTCGAGAATAGGAAAGGGAGTAAATGAAAGATGCATATTGTTCCATATCATCTGTTCAGCTTATTCAAGGAATAGAAGAATGGTAAGATTGGATAAAATGATAGCTTGAATCAAAATAGGCAGCTAGAACATAATCATTTTGCGAGTGGAATTTGACGTTATCAAAGTCAAAATTATAGATTCATGTCATCTAGCATGTGTATTGAATTTCTATTTGACAGCAGAGAGGTCTGCTAGAAAATGCAAGTCTTTCATCAGAGTTAGAGAGCTGCATTTAATCTTACGGCTGCAAATTTAACTTTGCTTTCTACCATTTTTTTTACTGATGCTAAACAATTAGCTACAACGAAATCTCATTCTAATTGATCATTGGAGTTGTGTGTCCATCATTCAGAAAGTAAGTCAGCACAATAATGTACATCACTTGAGTAATGAAGTACCTGTAGTTCTGCAAATATTGCAAAGTACATCTTCAAAAAAAAATCGTTTCATGGAAAGTTTCTTGTACAGAGATCTGGTAAAGTCGGGGTTCACTGTATTTTAAAATTGTTTTTGTTTCATGTAACCAAGATTGTGTCTCGGGTGGATAAAAATCTCTTATCCTCTCTTTCTAGTGAAGGACAAAAATGAGTTATGCGGAAAAACCCGATGAAATTACAAAAGATGAGTGGATGGAAAAACTCAATAATTTACACATCCAAAGAGCTGACATGAATCGCTTAATTATGAACTATCTTGTTACAGGTAACAATCACTAGATTTGCGATTGCCTCTTAATTTAAGAATGGTATTTTAAGAACAGCATTTCCAGCACATGTTTATATTCATTGATGGCACTATATTAGAAGAGTCTTGTGAAGACCGAAAACACCGCTGCTACCCACTCCACAATCTGTAATTATGTGCCCTATTATTATGTAAACTGTGAAAAAGTTTTTTTTTAAGTTTTTTATTTATAAAACAGTTAAAACAAAAATGGACATAACATAACATTCCAGTGTATATATTCCTAACAATTTGTTCCTCATCTTACATATAATTCTTAATCTCTATATATACATATCGTGTGCTGATATGGATAGGCTCACAATGGAAATGAAGGACAAGACAGAGTCAGATTACTTTGAAATCTGGGACAAATTCTATTGTTGGTGTGAATCAAGGAGAACTGTTCGGGTTTTAAGTTAGTGTTAAGATAGAGATATATAAAACTGTATGTTGGTATATAGAGAAACAAATTAGAGACTGTATTGTATAAAAAGTTTAAGTTTTAACAATGGAGTCTCTTCCTAGAAGCTTACAGGCAAAAGGACAAGTAGAAAAAAGGTTATCTCAGCCTTCCTGCTCAGTTAAGACTAAGTCAGAATTTTAGCCACGCCTCCTTCTGGGCTGACCTTCCCAGTTTTTGACAAGGGTGAAGCAAACATGACGAAGTCTGACGCATTGGCTCCTCCAACTAACGCACAAGCCAAGACGGCCGTAAAGGGTGGGTGTGGATTCTACACCATCATGCTGAGAAAAGGCGTTAAGGTAAGACAACGCTCCTTATCCAGCATGATGAGTGTGGAATCCACCGGTGGGACATACCAAAGCCGCTCATGTCCCTATGGGGGGGGAAAGAGTCTGGGCTTGTGTCCCACTAGAACAGCGGTTCTCAACCTGTGGGTCGCGACCCCATTGGGGGTCGAACGACCATTTCACGGGGGTCGCCAAACAACGCGATCCGCCATTTTTTGTCAGCTGGCGGCACCGCGCATGCGCGCTGCACATGGGGAGGCACCGCGCATGCGCGTCACACATGGGGAGGCACCGCACATGCGCGCCACGCATGGGGATGCCGCCGCAAATGCACGGCACGCATGCGCGGCGCGTCCTTATGACTGGAGTCGCCAGAAAAAAAAGGTTGAGAACCACTGCACTAGAAGAAACCACTTGTTGCAAAACCCTCCTACCAAATGCGGCATCCACCGCTGCACATTTATCCAGCTTGTAATGTCGTATAAATGACAACGGAGAAGATCAAGTTAGTGCCCTACAGATCTCCTCAACAGATGCCTGGGTAGACCAGGCCGCAGTCGTAGCTGCACTGCGTGTGGAATGGGCCGTGACATGTGAAGGAACCGGGAGAGAATGAGAGAGATAGGCACGAGCGATGCATGCCCTAATCCACTTTCCAATGGTCGAAGAGGAGACCTTCTGACCCAGGGAAGAGGGTTGGAAAGACACAAACAATGCTTCCGACCTACGAAAGGCCGAGGAAAAGGAATAGCTACTAATTTTTTTCAGAAAGTTTCTATTAACTTCAAGAACTGGCCATTGAGGAAGTTAGTTCTGAGAAGGAGCTTTAGTAAGAGAATTACATCTTTTAATCTTTCTTGTCCTCTTTTGCAATCAGAAACTTCAGGTCCTTTTTTTTATTGTCAAAGCAAAAACACCAAGAGTCATTCAGTGCCGAAAGCCTTGTAGATGACTTTTTTTTGTTTGTTTACTTCGTAACAAGTTTCTTCTTCCATTTCATTTCAGAAGGTTTTAAAGAGGCTGCTGAGAAGTTTCGAATGGAATCTGGAATTGAACCTAGTGTTGATCTAGAGACGCTGGATGAAAGAATAAAAATTCGGGAGATGATTCTCAAAGGCCAGATTCAGGAAGCCATTGCACTGATCAATAGCCTTCATCCAGAGTTATTAGACACAAACCGGTACCTTTATTTCCATTTGCAGGTAAGCTAACAGATTTAGAGATGCAGGGATTATAGTTAACGTATCTAAGTAATAAATTTATTGGTTATTTAGGAACTACAGTGATTGAATTCATAATTTATCTTAATATGTAGGGTAGACATTTTGAATGCCCTTTGACCTTGTGAGAATATAATTGTATCAGATATTTAAATGTGAACATTGGAACTGGCTAGATGCTCCAGTCCTGTATTATGTTCATATTGGCCTTGACATTAACCTGAATCAAATTGGAATTGGGGAGGATTTGCTATCCATGTTCTTGTTGCCCTTAAAAGTATTTAAATGTGCAGTTCTTTAGATGAGCATTAAAACTCCAAATATCTTAAGCCTGAAAAGGCAATCTTTGAATGATAGAATCACATCAGAGAGGTTTAGGACAGGGGTAGGCAACCTTGGCTCTTTTATGACTTGTGGACTTCAACTCCCAGAATTCCTGAGCCAGCAGGGCTCAGCTTGGAAACCTCTCTCTTTCCCCTCAGCATGACTGGCTCAGGAATTCTGGGACTTGAAGTCCACGACTCATGAAAGAGCCCAGGTTGCCTACCCCTGGTCTAGGACATGAAGTGTCCACATTCTTCATTTATTGACACAATAAAAGCTTGAAAACTTGCATAGCTTTGCTTCTGACCGTTAGATATTTTTTTTTAAAAAATTAAAGATGTTTGATCAAAGCCGGATATTCAGATGATGTTTATGGTGTAGGAGAGAAAATGTGTTTAACTTCCTATTTCTGTTTCCCCCCCCCCCCCTTTGATCTGTGCAGCAGCAACATTTAATCGAACTGATTCGGCAGCGGGAAACTGAAGCTGCTCTGGAGTTTGCTCAGACTCAGTTAGCAGAACAAGGAGAAGAGAGCCGGGAATGTCTGACGGAGATGGAGCGCACACTTGCTCTCCTTGCTTTTGATAATCCAGAGGAATCCCCTTTTGGAGATTTGCTCAACATGATGCAGAGGCAGAAAGTAACTACTAGTTATGGAACTAAAATTAAAGATTGCAGAACTCTTAACTGCTGGTTCATTTACGTTTATCTCTTTAGTGCAGGGGCTCCCAACCAGGCGTACGAGACAGTGTTCCAGGGGGTTTTCAAAACTTGGGTTTTCAACATTATAGTGCAATGTGCATAATTTGTTGCCATTATTTCAAACTTTTGTAAAGGGTGCAGGGTATAGAAAAGGTTGGGAACCACTGTCTTAGTGGGTTGTGGAGAATAGCTAGCTTTATATCAGGGGTTCTCAGCCTGTGGGTCGGGACCCCATTTGGGGTCGAACGACCATTTCACGGGGGTCGCCAAACAACGCAGTCCGCCATTTTTTTTCCCCCTTTCCTTAGCTGTGCTACTCCCTTTTATTCTATTGGCTTTTGAAAGCCAATAGAATAGACTCTTGAATAGAGTCTAATTCTATTGGCTTTCAAAAGCCAATAGGAATTGTCCAGGCTGTCTCTGCCCTGTTGAGCCCGCCTAAAGTCCCATTCTGCAAACGGGGCTGCACCAGTTGAGTAGTCCTTGACTTACGACCGGTTGGGGGTCACGGCATTAAAAAGGTTGAGAACCACTGCTTTATATCTTTTTCATAGTAGATTGAGCAAGCACTTAAAAGAAAATCTCAATCAGCTAAATCGCTTCGTTAATCAACTATTTTAATTAGTTGTGAGAATTCAACTGGATTGGTGAAGCAAATAGGCCTGAGAATGAGAAATATAAAGAAGAAATGACTGCTTACTTTTCTAGTAGACAACTATATCAATAATAGAGATTCTTACCATGATAGGTTTCACGGTATCTGCCCCAAATGGAACAGCATACAATTGTAAAATAAACTTCTATTAGTGGTCTAGTGGTTAAGGCACCAGGCTAGAAACCAGGAAGCTGAATGCTAGTCCTGCCTTATGTACCAATGCCGGCTAGGTGACTTTGGGCCAATCATACATTCTCAACCCAACCCATCGTACAGACTTGTTTTGGGGACTTGACAAGCGAAGTCAATGTGGAAGCCAGATTCTCTTAACAACTGTGTTACTAAACTTAACAGCTGCAGTGATTCACTTAACAACTGTGGCAAGAAAGGTCATAAAACGGGGCAAAACTCAATTAGGTGTCTTGCTTCACAGAAATATGTTACTAATCTAAGTTACTTGTCTCTTTCTCTAGGTGTGGAGTGAAGTAAACCAAGCTGTGTTAGATTATGAAAATCGTGAGTCAACCCCCAAACTGGCTAAATTATTGAAGCTACTACTTTGGGCTCAAAATGAGCTGGACCAGAAGAAAGTAAAATATCCCAAAATGACAGATCTCAGCAAGGGGACAATTGAGGAACCCAAGTAAAATGTGCAGATGGACACTAAATCTCACACCTGCACAGTGATTATACATTTTTAATCAGTCTGTGACTGAAATATTTTTACTACAGTTCAGGACTTTTGCAATTTGGTTGTGTGTTTTTTTGTTTTTTTGTTTTGTTTCTTGGCAAGCATACGTAAAGGGAAGGGGTCCCTTTTAAAATGCAGCAAAATGGCATTGGAAAAAGCATTACATCACTTTTTGTCCATCTGACTTAGGCTATGCACTGTCGTACTTTTTTAGCCAAATACCAAGGTTCTTTTTTAAATACTGTGCTGAAGGTTTGCAGTGTCTGGCCACTGAGACATATTTTGGTAGCCAGCGAATTGATGTTAAAGCTCTTGGCAACTCTCCAGTTAAACTTCACCTGTTTTTCACTTGAACATGGACTTATTTCTGTGTTAATTTATAGCCAAATATGCATTCCCTATTTATAAGCTTGCAATTGGTTAAAGTGATCATTTTGTAAACCTCCTGCCAGTGTTGTTTACTGCATAGACTATAGTATAGAAAACTTGTAAGCTGTAATTGAAGATAGCTGCCCTTGCTTTTCACACCTTGGTGACTTATTTATATGGGGCTGAATGTTATGTTCATGACGGGCCTCGTCCTCTCAGAAGCATTGCGAAAAATAAAAGCATTTTCTTTTGTAGTTTTCAAGAATGACCAAAATAGCCTCTGAAGAAAAACGTAATCACATTATAGGTAGGCGTTCTTTCCCCAGAGTTTTTTTGTGGCTCTATTTCTTAATGCCAGTTGCAGTCATTACACTGCTTGGGGTGACAATTACAGCCTTAAAGCCTGTAATATATTTACGGACAATATGAAAATGGAAATAATGTTAGCCATTCCCAGTAAGAAGAAATAGCTTAATGTAAACCCAGTGGAACAGTATAAATGTTTGGGGGCCATAATTTTTAAATGATGGAATTATTTTTTTAACAGTTTCTTATCTTGGGTAATTGGTACTGATTTTTTACAACTCTCCTCCCTGGAGCCCCCATCTTTATGATGGGAGTGTGGTTATCATGGTTCGGATTTATTTCTAGTTAAAGCCCCTGTAATTCCATGAGTTATTTCTTACTCAGTTGCTGCATTGCAGTCTCCTTTATGGATGGTTAATGGCCATGCAAGGCTGATTTAAAAACATGGTTCCCCTATCTGGCTGGTAGTAATAAATGCTTAATCTGGCTAGTTTCAAGATTACCATCCTGCAACTAACTCAGTTATCTCCCAAGATTGCTGAAGCCTAGATATTTCCAGTTGCCAAGCTCTTATTAATGTTATTGCCAACTAGGAGCAATCTGCCTCTCTGTGCTTATTTTACACCTTTCTGCCAAAAGGAGGGGGAAAAAACAGTATGTCATTTAGCTGTAGCCTAGTACTACTTACTACTCCTAGTGCTCTTGGTGAGTAAATGAGCAAGCTATATAGCACACAAACATTTGGCTTTCAGCAGGGTTGTTGCTACAGTCGTTGCTTGGTATAATAGACTACCGGAAGCTTCTCTATATTGCTCCTAAAAACAATTGAGAGTGACACAGTGGAGGTTCCTGATGAGGGATATGTATTTGTATGCAGGTGCATTCTGGATGAGGCCCACGGCTAGACTAGTGTTAACAGTAGTTCGAAGATAAGATGGCACTTGTATTTTGCACTGAAGCTTGTACAGCCTATCGGAGAGAAAGCTCTGACAGAACATGACTTAACATTTTGGGAGATCACTCAACCTGGGACTGATGGTCACGGAGAGTTCAGTGTCCTGGGTTATTTTATATTCTTGAGGAATGTTTCCTAACAACTCGACTTGGCCTGGGAAATTCTTTGGATTGACTAAGCACAGCTACGCTGAAAGTCAAAACGTCTAGGCCAGGGGTAGGCAACCTTGACTCTTTTATGACTCATGGACTTCAACGCCCAGAATTCCTGAGCCAGCATGGCTGGCTCAGGAATTCTGGGAGTTGAAGTCCATGAGTCATAAAAGAGCCAAGGTGGCCTACCCCTGGTCTAGGAGTTCTTCAGATAGGACCAATTTATCTTTCCTCTTCTGGAGATAAAGCCAGAGTCTCCAAACTTGGGCAACTTTAAGACTTGCAGACTTCAACTCCCAGAATTCCTCAGCCAGAGGAATTCTGGGAGTCGAAGTCTACAAGTCTTAAAGTTGCTAGGTTTGGAGACCCCTGGTTTAAAGCCTCAGCTTTCAACGTAGTTCTGACCAAAAGCTGATGTCCTGTGTTGCAGCCATGTTTAAGAGGTCTCCTTTATGTTCAAGCATTCTGTTGAAGCCATGGTTGCATAATAACTGGAATTTAAGAGTGTTTTAAGAGCCAAATATGCGATATAACTATGACAGTTTACTTAATTGGTTTTTGTTAAAAACATCTCACACTGAAGCAGCTTTAATCTGTAAAGGTTTCTTGGGGGTAACTTTAGAGAAAAATATTTAAAATGGTATGAAAGAAAGCTATGCATTTTACAGAGTGTGCAAAGGTGTAGTCCCCGTGGTACTTTTAGGGATCTTTATATTCACATGTATATAAAATAGTTTGCATATACAAATTATAATATAATCAATTTGAATTATTCTCAGATGGGGAGGGTGTAAAATATAACTGATGAAAATATTATTCACAAAAATTAAACCCCACAGCCCTCACTACATAAATGAATTTTTGTCATACACATGAGAACTGTCTTGCCTAGTGGCTGTGAAAAATGGTTGCAATTTATCTCCATAATGTTAGATCACCACTCTTCACTGCTTAGCATTAAATACAACTTTGATCAATGCGTTTCCCCTCTGGTTTTTCTTCTACTTTATTTTTGTGAACCTCTTTATAGAAACAATATTTCAGAGAATACAAGTGTGCTAATCGCTCCTCTCGGTCTGACTAAATTTTGCAATCCACGCAGCGAAGACTGTTATACGTACAGCACACGGTATGTATGTTTGAGGGGGTGTGCAAAGCATTTTGAATTCAAAATGGGTTGTTCTAGCTACTCCACAAGGGATCCAAAGTTGGAAGGTAGGCTCAACTGTCACAGCAACAACATATATAAATATAGGTAGTCCTCAACTTATGACCACAACTGAGCCCTGAATTTCTGTTGCTAAGGGAAACATTTGTTAAGGGAGTTTTGCCCCATTTTACGAAATTTCTTGCCAGAGTTGTTAAGTGGATCGCTGCAGTTGGTAAACTAGTAGCACGGTTATTAACTGAATCTGGCTTCCCCGTTGACTTTGCATGTCTGAAGGTTGCAAAAGGGGATCACATGACTCTTGGACACTGCAGTCGTCATAAATACGGGTCAGTGGCCACAAGCATCTGAATTTTCATCCTGTGACCACGGGGATGCTGCGATGGTCGTAAGTGTGAAAAACGATCATGAGTCACTCTTCGCTGCTGCTGTAACTTTGAATGGTCACTAAACGAACTGTTGTAAATCGAGGGCTACCTATAACATAAAAATAATGCTGGTTCGTGCAGGTTTTGGAGAAGGAGCTATGTTTAGTAGGCACATTGTTGGAATGAATGAAAAGGAGACTAAGCACATCTTAAAGGTAAGGCAAGGATAGGCAACCTTGACTCTTTTATGACTCATGGACTTCAACTCCCAGAATTCCTGAGCCAGCATGGCTCAGCTCGGAAACCTCTCCCTTTTCCCTCAGCGTGGCTGGTTCAGGAATTCTGGGAGTTGAAGTACACAAGTCATAAAAGAGCCAAGGTGGCCTACCCCTGGTCCGATAAGGGGAGCCTGTGAAGGAATTAGCTCTGCGTGTTGGACAAAGCCATTCAGATTCGTTTTCAGTTGGATCCCAGCCTTGTGACACGTCTGCTGGAGATGCCCATGGAGGAATCTTGCCCTGTTATCTAGCCGGTTGGGCCTGAGGAACTGACTTTAAAACTGAGCTCAGCCACCTGCTATATTCCTAGATCGGGGGTCTTCAAACTTGGCCCTTTTATGACTTGTGGCCTTCAGCTCCCAGAATTCCTCAGCCAGGCACATGTGCCTGGCTGAGGAATTCTGGGAGTTGAAGGCCACAAGTCATAAAAGGGCCAAGTTTGAAGACCCCTGTCCTAGATTAATGCAATGATTTTAAGCAGTTCAATAAAGTTTTATTTTCCCCCCCCCATAGGAAAATAAACGTAACTTGTATCTAAATTATTCCTGTTTTGTAATGACAGGGATTTTGTGTGACCGTCAGTGTTAGCGTTTGGAAAAAAAAAAAAACATTCTTCAGTTTTGCCATGGAATGTAAGCAATCAGGTTTTGGGTTTGAAAAAAACAACACCGTGGCCACAATTAGAAAGTCACTAGTTGATTATTTTGTCATTGTATCAGTGTCTTGGCTCCATTTCAGCCATTGTAACTTGGCTGTATTATGTTTTCTGTACTAAAGCCATCTAAAGGACATTTAGATGGCATCGGGACAAAGGAATACCCTATTTTCCAGCGTATAAGATGACTTTCTAAAGTGCGGAAATTGGCGCCGAAGTCGGGGGTCTTATACGCCGAGTTGTCTTATATGCCGGAAATTACGGTAGTTTCCGGCGGATAAGACGACTTTCTAGGCATGGAAATCCTCACTGAAGTCTGTCGTCTTATACGCCAGAAATACGGTACGTTTATTCACCCGTCATGCTTGCATCCTAGGTTTATCCCAATCTGAAAATTGCGAGTAATAATTTGTGTCCAACCTTTTACTGATTCCCTCACTTGGATTGTGCTGTCAAATGATTGTCAGTTCCTAGGAATTACATGGAGTTTTTCTTCCCCACAATCCTCAATTTTTAAGAAAAATCCACAATCCACAATTTTTAAGAAAAGGCTAGACCAGGGGCAGGCAACCTTGGCTCTTTTCTGACTCGTGGACTTCAACTCCCAGAATTCCTGAGTCAGCTATGCTCCAATACGGTCTTCCAATGGTGCATCCATCACCACTGGATCTGAGCCCATCTACCTGATTATGCTTTTCTGTTTCGCTCCCCTTTTCCTAACAGAGACTTCTCCTGGGTCTTAATAATAATAGTAATAGTAATAATAATAAAGTTGGAAGGGATTTTGGAGGTCATCAAGTCCAACCCCCTGCTCAGGCAGGAAACCCTATACCAGTGATGGCGAACCTTTTACAGACCAAGTGCCCAAACTGCAAACCAAAACCCACTTATGCATCATTGGGTGCTGGGTGGGCGTGGCCCATTGGGTGGGTGTGGCCAATTGGCTGTGCTGGCCCATTGGGTGGGTGTGGCTGCGAAGATAATAGCACACTGCGTGGGATTAAAAAGTTCAATCAATTCCAACTTTGCAAGATCTTTTTTTCCTGCAAGAAGTTGAAATTGATTGATTGAACTTTTTTTTTTTTTTTTTGCACACGGTGGCAGAGGCCTAAAGCGAAAAGGTTTTATAAAACCCAGCTGAAGGCCTAGGACTGGAGCGATGGTGCGTGTACCCATAAAGAGGGCTCTGCGTGCCACCTGTGATATGCGTGCCATAGGTTCGCCATCATGGCCCTATACCATTTCGGACAAATGGCTGTCCAGTCTCTGTTTGAAAACTTCCAGTGTTGGAGCATTCACCACTTCTGGAGGCAGGTTGTTCCACTGGTTAATTGTTCTAACTGTCAGGAAGTTTCTCCTTAGTTCTAGGTTGCTTCTCACTTTGGTTAGTTTCCACCCGTTGCTTCTTGTCCTGCCTTCAGGCCCTTTGGAGAATAGCTTGACTCCCTCTTCTTTGGGGCAGCCCCTGAGATACTGGAACACTGCTATTATGTCCCCCCCCCCTCGTCCTTCTCTTCATTAAACTAGAGATACCCAATTCCAGCAACCGTTCCTTATCCTTCACAGAATGTGTCCGAAATAGGACAGCTTGAGCCTGGTCACTTGTGCCTCGAATGAAGATTTGTTTGACAATCCATTTGTTTGCTTTCCTGGCTGTCCAACGGTATTCCCAGGAGTCTTCTCCAAACTCCGAAGCTGAAAAGCGTCAATACAGGTAGCCCTTGACTTACCAACCGTTTGTTTAGTGACCATTCAAAGTTACAATGGTACCAAAAACCCTGAGTTGTGACCAGTTTTCCCACGACCGTTGCAGCATCCCCAGGATCACAGTTGGGGCACTTAGCAACTGGCATTGTATTTGTGACATGGCACTGAGCTGGGTCATGTGGTCACCCTTTGTGACCTTCCCAGCCTGGCTTCCCACAAGCAAAGTTAATAGGGGAAGTCAGAATCCCTTTAACGACCATACGGTTCACTTAACAACTGCAGTGACTTGCTTAACAAATGGGGCAAAAAAAGGTTGTAAACTGAGGCGCAACTCCTGTAACTGTCTTGCTTAGCAGTGGAAATTGTGGGCTCAATTGTGGTCATGAGTTGAGGAGTGTATTCTTCCTATCCTGCTTCCATAAAGTCCGACTTGGGTTTCCATGGGGCGTCATGGGGAATACCAGGCCTTCGAGATTCTGATCTTTGTATTTATTTGAAAGATCATGACTTTTATCTTTTCCAAGGTCTTCATGGCTTCATGGCACAGTGCAGTAAGAAGAAATAGGGGGGACATGATAGCAGTGTTTCAATATCTGAGGGGCTGCCACAAGGCAGAAGGGGTCAGCACCAGAGGGAAGGACAAGAAACAATGATTGGAAACTGATCAAAGAGAGAAGCAACCTGGATTTAAGGAGAAACTTCTTGACAGTGAGGACAATCAACCAGTGGAACAGCTTGCCTCCAGAAATTGTGGGCGCCCCATCACTGAAGATCTTTAAGAAAAGACTAGACAATCACCTGTCTGAGATGGTGTAGGTTCTCCTGCTTAAGCGGGGGGGGGGGGGCTGGACCTCCAAGGTCCCTTCCAGCTCTATTCTATATCTCACCCAGCGAGTCCTTACAGACACGCCTCTCATGTTATTTTCATCCAGCGACGTCTGCAACAATGTAATAGCACTAGCTCTTAGACTTACATACCGCTTCACGGTGCTTTACAGCCCCTCTCTAAGCTGTTTACAGAGTCAGCATGGTGCCCCCAACAATCGGGGCTCCTATTTTGCCAGGATGGAAAGCTGTGCCTATTTTGCCAGGATGGAAGGCTGCGCCACCATGGCAATAGAATAGATCAGAATAGAATAGCACTACCACTTAGAGACTTATATATCACTTCACAATACTTTACAACCCTCTGTAAGCGGTTTACAGAGTCAGCATGGTGCCCCCCCCCAACAATCGGGACTCCTATTTTGCCAGGATGGAAGGCTGTGTCAACCTTGAGCAGGTGAGACTTGAACTGCTAGCTGTGGGCATAGTTAGCTTGCAATACTGCAATCTAACCACTGCGCCACCATGGCAATAGAATAGACCAGAATGGAATAGCACTAGCACTTAAGAGACTTATATATCACTTCACAGTACTTTACAACCCTCTCTAAGAGGTTTACAGAGTCAGCTTATTACCCCCAACAATCTGGAGGTGCGTGGGGGGGATCTTCAGAGCTGCAGGAAAAGGAGTGCCGGATCTGGCACGGGGGGGGGGGAGATTTTTAAATCTCCCTCAGGCAGGATTTCGTGTGGATCCTCCACCACCCAGAGGATGATCTCCGGCTCTAACCTCTCTGGAGATTCTCAGCCCCACCCAGGTTCGCGGTTTGTCCCAAAGGTGCTTTTTCAAAAGGCAACTGGACTTCCTTGTTTTTTTGCATTGAAGGAGGAGGGGTGACAGGATAACAGTGTACCGATATCTCAGGGGCTGCCCTAAAGAAGAGGGAGTCAAGCTATTCTCCAAAGCACCTGAAAGCAGGACAAGAAACAATGGATGGCAACTAATCAAGGAGAGAAGCAACCTGGAACGAAGGAGAAACTTCCTGACAGTGAGAACAATTAACCAGTGGAACAACCTGCCTCCAGAAGCTGTGAATGCTCCAACACTGGAAGTTTTTAAGAAGAGACTGGACAGCCATTTGTCTGAAATGGTACAGGGTTTCCTGCCTGAGCAGGGGGTTGGACTAGATGACCTCCAAGGTCCCTTCCAACTTTATTATTATAAAGACGTTTCGCTCCTCATAATCCAAGAAGCTTCTTCCGTTCTCCAGAGTTCTTCAGCGAACCGAGGAAGCTTCAGGGGGTGAGGAGCGAGACGCCTTCCAAGCCAAAACCAAGAAACGAGGGGGGGTCCCCCCCCCGGGGCCCTCTGAGCTAGCTTGTTTTCTTGCAGACGTTTCATTACCCTAAACTAGGTAACGTCATCATAGTTAGGGGGCAATAAAGCGCCTGCAAGGAAACAAGCCAGCTCAAGAGAGCACCCGGGACCCCCCCCCCCCTCAGGTCGACCCCGAGCTACACGTATTCTCCTTCCTTGCTTAAAAACCAAGAAAAGTCCACGTGCTGGACCATTGCTCCACGTGGAAAGTCAGCCATCCAATCCCGCGTGGGCAGGACAGTCCAGTTTTGCCTCTTGGAAAGAAGAACCGGGGGAGGGGGTGGGGAAACCTCGCGACCCTGGATGGCTGAGAGTCTCCAGAGAGGCAAGATCGTCCTCTGAGTGGCGGAGAATCCACGCGAAATCGCGCAGAGGGGGAGGACAGATTCAAAAAAAATCCCCCGCGCCGCGTCCAGCCTGCGAGCGTCGGAGAGATTCCCCCGCGCGCCTCCAGCCGGCTCTCTCTCTCTCTCTCTTTCTCTCAACGGAGCGGCCGGCTCTCCGGAGCGCAGGAACGGAGAGCGCGCAGCCGGCCGCCGCTGAATGAACGGGCGCCCGCTGCTCTCCAACGACTCGCCCCTAACGGCGAAGGGGAGCCCCCCCCGCCCCGTCCCGTCCCCCCCACCGCCAGCATCGCCTCCACCCCACCCCACCCGCGCCGACGACGAGGAAGCCGCTCCGGGACGGCGATGACGCCTCCAGCCCGAGGTGGCCCCGTTTGGCCCCTTTGGCGGCTGTCACAAGCCAGACGCGGCCGGGCTCTTTTTTTTTTTTTTTCTTGCGCCCGCCTGCAGGCTGATCCGGGAGGGCTGGGAATTCCCCCGCTTTAGTCTTCCGAAAGTCTCTCCCCCCCCCCCCACGAAGGTTTGAAGTTTCCTTTGCACCCGCAGCCCGGGTTACGAGACTTCCTGGAAGGGGACCCGAGCAGGAAGAGACAAAATTGACACGTGGACTCTTTTTTTTCCTCTCTCTCTCTCTCGCTCGCTCGCTCTCTTCTTCTTGTTTCCCTTGCCAAGGACGGACGGACGGACGGACGGCGGTGATGCTTGACTGAATTTTGTCTCCGGTGCCAACCTGGAATTAGTCGTGGGGAGGACTATCTTCAGGGCGGATTTCCCCCCTCCCCTCCTTTCCCCAAATCAAACGGCTTCCCCCGGGTTGCTGCTTTTCATCCCCTTTCCTCTTCCAAATCCGACTTTTAAGCCCGGTGTCTTCTCTGGGAAGAGGAGTAGCTGGCGAAGACTGCTGCAGTGGTGGCGGTGAGCAAGTTAGAAAACTACTACTACTACTACTACTACTACTACTACTACTACTACTACTACTACTACTACTACTACTACTACTTCCTCTTCTTCTTCTCCTTCTCCTCCTCCTTCTTCTCCTTCTCCTTCTTCTTCCTCTTTATTTATTTATTTCTGAGACTTATATACTGCTTTAAATGCAAGCACTCTCTAAGCCAGTGGTTCTCAACCTGTGGGTTGGGACCCCATTTGGGGTCAAATGACCATTTCACGGGGGTTGCCAAACCACACTGTCCGCCATTTTTTCCCCTTTTCCCTAGCTGTCCTACTCCCTCTTATTGGTGGCCACACCCACTTGGGGGTCACCACAACATGGGGAACTGTATTATGGGGTCACGGCATTAGAAAGGTTGAGAACCACTGCTCTAAGCGGTGTACACCAGTAAGCAATGTATATATATATTTACATTGCCTCTTCTTCTTCTTCTTCTTCTTCTTCTTCTTCTTCTTCTTCTTCTTCTTCTTCTTCTTCTTCTTCTTCTTCTTCTTCTTCTTCTTCTCCTTCTCCTCCTCCTCCTTCTCCTCCTCCTTCTTCTTCTCCTCCTTCTCCTCCTCCTCCTTCTCCTTCTCCTCCTCCTTCTCCTTTTTCTCCTTCTCCTCCTTCTCCTTCTTTATTTATTTATTTATGAGACTTATATACCGCTTTAAGTGCAAGCACTCTCTAAGCGGTGTACACCAGTAAGCAATGTATATATATATTTACATTGCCTCTTCTTCTTCTTCTTCTTCTCTTCTTCTTCTTCTTCTTCTCTTCTTCTTCTTCTTCTTCTTCTTCTTCTTCTTCTTCTTCTTCTTCTTCTTCTTCTTCTTCTCCTCCTCCTCCTCCTCCTCCTCCTCCTCCTCCTCCTCCTCCTCCTTCCTGGCTGTCTCTTGTGGATGCTTCGGAAGAGTCTGTCCTCTCAGTTTTCTCCTCCCGGTAGGTAGAGGGGAGCTTCTAACTCTCTCTCTTCTTTTTATGTTTATTTTTATTATTTATTTTTTTGCCTGGTGGTTTTCGCATTGGTGGATTAAGCCGTTGAATGGCCTTGAGCGTCGGCAACGATGGAGCGCAGGATTCGGGGGCCAACCTGCTCGCATTCCAAAATCACAAGCAGCATCAAGCGCCACCGATAAGATGCCCCCAACAGGAAGACACGAAAAAAGATGGAGGAATCGGGAATGTCTTTTGGTCCAGGTGAGAATCGGTGGCCTTCTTAGATTTGGGGACCTTTTCCAAGTCCCCCCCCCCCCGCTGGTGGCTGTCTGCCTGTCGATTCCCACAGTGGAGAACCTTGGCTAGGTCTGAAACGTCATGAATGGTTGTAAGCCAAGGACTCCCTGGTTGAGAGTGTTCATCCCAGCTGACCTGATCTAGAAAATGTCAGCACGGCTGATATTGGTTACAGGTAGTCCTTGACTTACAACAGTTCGATAATAATAATAATAATAATAATAATAATAATAATAATAGCCTATCCCAGGTCCTTGGTAAGGACTCGATAGGTAGACAAAATGCCAAATCCAGTCTGAACATCTGGCTGACTGTGCGATGATCCATAATAATAATAAAGTTGGAAGGGACCTTGGAGGTCATCTAGTCCAACCCCTGCTCAGGCAGGTAACCCTATAACATTTCGGACAAATGGCTGTCCAGTTTCTTCTTAAAAACTTCCAGTGTTGGAGCATTCATTGCTTCTGGAGGCAGGTTGTTCCACTGGTTAATTGTGATTGTTCAAAGTTACAACAGCACTGAAAAATGTGACTTATAATTGTTTTTCACTGTTGCGACCTTTGCAGCATCCCTAGGAGCATGTGGTCAAAATTCAGATGCTTGGCAACTGGTTCATGTTTATGACTGTTGCTGTGTGTCCCAAGGTCATGTGATCTGCTTTTGCAAACTTCCGACAAGCAAAGTCAACAGGGAAGCCAATTTCACTTAACCAACTGGGTTATTAACGGCAGTGATTCATTTAGCAACTGTGGCAAGAAAGGTCATAAAATGGGGCAAAACTCAATACATCTCTCACTTAACAACAGAAACGTTGGGCTCAGCTTTAGTCATAAGTCAAGGACTACCTGTAGCATTGTGGTGGACATCCCAGGGACACCTGTGAGAATCTAAATAATATTCAGGAAAAGACAATAGCAAATAATTTACAGGCAGTTAGTCCTCGTCTTACAACCTTCATTTTATAACCATTCAAAATGACAATGGCACTGAAAAAAGTGATTTATGACCAGTTCTCATTGAAGCATTTTCCACAGTCACATAACCCAAAGATGCTTTTTTTTCAAAAGGCCAACTGGACTTTGTTTTTTCTTGAAGAGGTTTTGCGTATAATAATAATAATGATGATGATGATGATGATGATGATGATAATGATGATGATGATGTTGGAAGGGACTTTAGAGGTCAACTAGTCCAACCCCTGTACCATTTCAGACAAATGGCTGTCCAGTCTCTTCTTAACAACTTCCAGTGTTGGAGCTTTCACCACTTCTGGAGGCAAGCTGTTCCACTGGTTAATTGTTCTAACTGTCAGGAAGTTTCTCCTTCGTTCTAGGTTGCTTCTTTCCTTGATTAGTTTCCATCCGTTGCTTCTTGTCCTGCCTTCAGGTGCTTTGGAGAATAGCTTAATTCCCTCTTCTTTATGGCAGCCCCTGAGATATTGGAACATTGCTATCATGTTCCCCCTCGTCCTTCTCTTCGTTAAACTAGACATACCCAATTCCAGCAGCCTTTCCTTATATGCTTTAGCCTCCAGTCCCCTAATCATCTTTGTTGCTCTTCTCTGTACTCTGTATTCTTAAGTGAAGTAACCAAAAGTTCTTCTCTCCCCAGAATTAATGCTGCCCAAGGATTTGCTATTTAGAAGAGATTATTATTATTTGCAGCTCAGGGTTGTTGCTCTCTGAGCTTAGTTGTTTTCTTGCAGACGTTTCATTACCCTATTTATAACATCATCAGTGTTAGAAGGGAGGAGGGTTTGCTCTCTGCTTATAATAATAATAATAATAATAATAATAGAGTTGGAAGGGACCTTGGAGGTCTTCTAGTCCAACCCCCTGCTCAGGCAGGAAACCCTATACCATTTCGGACAAATGGCTGTCCAGTCTCTTCTTAACAACTTCCAGTATTGGAGCATTCACCGCTTCTGGAGGCAGGTTGTTCCACTGGTTAATTGTTCTAACTGACAGGAAATTTCTCCTTAGTTCTAGGTTGCTTCTCTCTTTGGTTAGTTTCCACCCGTTGCTTCTTGTCCTGCCTTCAGGCGCTTTGGAGAATAGCTTGACTCCTTCATCTTTGGGGCAGCCCCTGAGATATTGGAAGGCTGCTATCATATTCAAGAAGCTTCTTCAGTTCGTCTTCAGTACAGCTTCTTCAGAGCTGACGAAGCTGCTTGGATAAGAAGCGAAACGTCATCAAGGAAAAACAAAGGAAGTCCTGTTGCCTTTTGATAAAAGCACCTTTGGGACAGTCACGCCTTGGATGACTGAGAATCTCCACAGACACCTTGGTCAAACATTGAGTGCTTGGCAACCTTCATGCCTTTACAATGGTTGCAGTGTCCCGGGTTCGTGGGATTGCCATTGGCACCGTTCCTGGGAAGCTTCTGACAAGCAAAATCCACAAGGGAAGCCACATTTGTTGACTGAGCCCATGGTTTACTTAACAGCTGTGGTGATTCGTAAAACGGGGGCACAACTTAACCACTGCCTTGCTTAGCAATGGAAATTTCGGCTCAGTTGTGGTTGTAAGTCGAGAACGACAACTATAGCAGAGGTCACCAACCTTTGTCAGTGGGCGGACCAGAGTAAAAGGAAGGGGGGAGAATTTTACACGCAGGCGTACGCATTCGCACGGGGCCGTGAGCACGCGCCTGCTGCAAACGGGGCGGGGCTAGCACCCGCGCAATACTTACTAGCCCTGCCCCATTCTTGTATGGCACAGCGCTTTCTGTTTCTGTGCCCTGCGGTGCGGCGGCGCCGTTTTTGTGCCCTGTGGCGTGGGTCCTGTTTTTGCACCCTGCAGCTGTGGTGCTAGCACAAGTGAGGGGGTGTCGGTGCGCACGTGTGCACACTGGCCAGCCTGTCCCACGGCCCGGTTGCCAGAAGGCCATGGCCCACAACTGGGCCGTGGTTCACAGGTTGGGGACCCCTGACCTATTGTATCACCAAGAAAAGCAATTTAAGCGTATCTCTGAACACCTCAGAAATTCCCCTTACAGCCTAGCACAGGGGTAGGCAACCTTGGCTCTTTTATGACCCGTGGACTTTAATTCCCAGAATTCCTGAGCCAGCATGGCTCAGCTTGGAAACCTCTCCCTGTCCCCTCAGCATGGCTGGCTCAGGAATTCTGGGAGTTGAAGTCCAGGAGTCATAAAAGAGCCAAGTTTGAAGACCCCTGGTTTAAATATTTAAATATTTTTTCCTCATAGTCATGTGATCAAAATTCAGGCATTTGGGCAGGGGTAGGCAACCTTGGCTCTTTTATGACCCGTGGACTTCAATTCCCAGAATTCCTGAGCCAGCATTGCTCAGCTTGGAAACCTCTCCCTGTCCCCTCAGCATGGCTGGCTCAGGAATTCTGGGAGTTGAAGTCCACGAGTCATAAAAGAGCCAAGGTTGCCTACCCCTGAGTCCTAGCAAAACACTAACTTCATTCATACGTTTGGAAATCACTGCTGGGTACTGTCTCTTCTGTAAATCTATGAAAAAAATAGGCGAACTTGATCAAATCCTGCGTGGAAAGAAATCAAAAGTGTAAATAAATGTCATTTTTTAGACTGGATCCAAATGGGGTGATCTCCCCTTTGGAGCCTGACAAGTGTAAGACTTGATGCTACACAGTGTTTCTCAATCTTGGCAGCTTTAAGATGCGTGGACTTCAACTCCCAGAATTCCCCAGCCAGCTTTGCTGGGCGGCTGTCGGAACATTGAATCCAAGTTGTAAGTTCCTCTTTTGGGATCTGCCATAACTTTGAATGGTCACAAGTAAAGGATTACCGGTATCCTAGTTTAGACAAAGAAGGACCTTATGGTCAATCTATACCAGGGGTCTTCAAACTTGGCCCTTTTATGACTCGTGGACTTCAACTCCCAGAATTCCTCAGCCAGTGTGGCTGGCTGAGGAATTCCAGGAGCTGAAGTCCACAAGTCATAAATGGGCCAAGTTTGAAGACCTTGGATCTATAACAAGAATCCAAAGCAGAAGAGATGAAAGCAAGGAATTTAAGACCACCTACATGTGACAGGCCACTGCAAGATTGATTGGGAATCTGATGAGCTTACCAAAGTAAGAATAATAAATAATAATGCCCACTTATAATGGTACAATAAAAAATGCAAATATTTACTTATTCTTTACGCAATTTCTATAGCTGTCCAGAATTGCTTGTTTGACATGGATGGCTATAGAAATTGAATGAATGAAGAATGAATGAATGAATGAATGAATGAATGAATGAATGGGGAAGCCAAGACTTATAGAAGTTGTCTTTCACTTGTAACTGTTTAATGATTACCTCAGTAAAAAGTGATTTACGATACATCCTTACATTTATGGCCTTCACGCCACAACCACAATCATAATATCACAATTTTGGGCAGTTTGCAAATTGTTTCCATTTATAACTGGTTGCAGTGTCCTGCAATCATGGCATCGTAATTTAGGAGCTTCCCAACCGATTTCCATTTTTCCAAGAAAAAAAATTCAATTGGGGAAGCTGGATTTGCTAAACAACCATGTGACTCTGGTGATTGGCTTAACGATCCCAGTAAAAAATAGTTGTAAAATAAGATCTGGTCAAATGAGGTAGTGACAGATTTTATTTTCCTGGGCTTCAAGATCACCGCAGATGGGGACTGCAGCCAAGAAATTAAAAGACGCTTGCTCCTGGGGAGGAAAGCTATGGCAAATCTAGACCGCATACTAAAAAGCAGAGACATCGACCCTACAAACAAAAGTGTGTATAGTCAAGGCCATGGTTTTCCCAGTTGCAATGTATGGCTGTGAAAGTTGGACTATAAGTAAGGCTGAGCGCCAAAGAATTGAGGCCTTTGAACTATGGTGCTGGAGAAGACTCATGTGAGTCCCCTGGACTGCAAGGCAATCCAACCAGTCAGTCCTGGAGGAGATCAACCCTGGCTGCTCTTTAGAAGGCCAGATCTTGAAGTTGAAACTCAAGTACTTTG